TTGGTACTGTCTTATTTGGAGAGGTGAAGAAACTCCCCCCTCCAACAGCTGCCAGGTTTTGTTTGGTGGGCAGGGAAGTGGTGAAGGCCTGGCTTCTCTTTAAACCTCCACGACACTTGCCTGTGCTGCCCCACTTCTGTTCTGCTCTCAGATGGCCCCAGCTGCCCCTCACTCACAAGTGGTTACATGAGAAAGTCAGAAAAGAAAATTTACCCAGCCACCCTAACCAATCCTCTGCCTGCACCATGCACCAACATTCCCAGTGTCCAATGTTGCAGATGATGGACCTGCTGGGAAAGGCAGCAGGTGGAGCGGCTGAAGGGATGCATTACTCGGCACAGGGGCAGTTATTAATTTTTTCAAGTTTTTATGCCAAGAACTGTACAGTGCTTTATGAAACACAGGCAGAGTCACAGTCACTTAGATTTAAAACACGGGCATTCTAACAAAGCACAAACAAGTAACTCCTCACCATGCCTTTAAGCTGTTCCTTAGTCTGCACTGTGCATGAACACTAAGCAGAGGACTGAACTGAACAGCATTCATAACAGAAAACATTATAAAGTGAGGGTAAAAAAGCAGTAGTTAAAAATTGAGAGAACTGGAAGCTTTCCTTCTGGTACCTGTGTCAACACTGAGATGCCCTAATGAATTTCCTCTAGCACCTGGAAAAATATATTTCCCTTTTTTTTGCTTGTCTTATTACTACTAAACATTCAAGAAGAAATAGATTCAGAAGAAGCAACCCATGTACTATGGAGTGCATTTACTAATATCTATCCCAACCTGGAGGGTTAAAATAGTAGCTGAATATAAGTTTGTTTGCAAAGTTTATTTTTTAAATTTCGTGATGAATTAGCCAGCTCTATGTGCTGAACTAATTTTAAGAAAATTAAAATGTTTATCTGGCTAAAATAAATTGTAAATGAACTCATTTTTTCCTCCACCTGTTTTTTGTTGTATTTCATGCATTGTAGACCCTAGCAATGATATTAGTTCTAGTGTGGGAAAATATTATAATTGAGATCTGCTAAGTTATTTGCAGACTTCAAGTTTTTCTTTACACTGTGCTGACGTTTAGTACAGCCCCGGTGAGGAAAACAATGCTGCCATTCACAGCTCTAGACGTAGATTTCAATCGACTTAAGCGGGCACAATGAAACTTGGTCATTCGCTGGTTACCCATATTGTGTTCTCAAATTTTCTCTCAGCAAAAGTATAATGACTCAGTATTGTATGGTTCCATAGACAAGGACTCAGAACAAGAGACACTAGTTTTGTCTGATGGTGTGAGAAAGTCGTGAAGGGATCTTTTCTTCCAGATGGTGTTAAATTCAGCTGCCTTTTTAACATTGCCTTGCACAGCAATGTGCTGCTCCCTTTTCACAAAGAATAAGCCCGGGTCCCTGCTAGTTAACATGCATACTCACGCAACCTGCAACTACACTCCAACTGTTTTACAATGCAGTGGTATGCTAAATAAACTTCCAGTGCAAAAACTAGCTTTGAGAGAACCGCCCCACTGATAATTAAACTTTTTGTTCTTGTTTTGGGGGATTTTTTTTATGTTACAGAAAACTTCATTGTTTTTTGTTTGATTTTTTTTTTCCCACAAGTTTTAAGGGAACAGCACCTAACAGATATATAATCCTAGGAAAGGATTACTTTTCGGAGTTACTTGGTGCATGAGCCTCTTAAAGCATGATTGAGGGCCTGCTACCACATTTCAAAATGTTCTCTTTCCCCAAGTTAGAAGTTAGCTGTGCCAGAGAAAAGATGCAGAGAAATGAGGCGCTTTGCTCCTAAAGAAGTGAAGTAGTAATAAAAATAATAGTAATAACAGTCGTATTTTATTGATTGATAATGTAACATTAATAAGGTACAAAACAATTTAAAGTGACAATGGCCAACATGCGATTATATGCTGCTGTTTTTCTAAGGTGTTTTTCTTCGCAGGTTTACACTGGAGACCAAGACACAAGCAGCAGCTTAAGTAAATTGACCCTTTTCATGACTAAGTAAACAATGGGCTTCCCCAGAAAACAGCTTATCGCCTTAATTGAAGCTATTTGAGAAAGAAAATCGCTCACTTTGTCATGTAAATGTTAATTGTAGTAGACAAAATGGCTCTAGGTAAATAGCACCTCCAGACAAGCAGTAAATGAGAGGCGTGCGGGCACTCGGCGGTGAAAGGCTGGTGGCACAAACACGGTTCCGATGTAAATAAACACGGCTCCCCTCTCTGGGCGCTGCAGCAATAAAACTTTGGCACGCGTAGAGCAGCCAAAACGGAGGTTTAACCTCAAAAACAGCCTTGCCGGGGCCTCGGACGGCACTGCTGGCAGCCACGAGGCGGGACCTACGACGAAACTGAGGTTAACAGCTACGGGGAGGATGGGGTAACTTTTGGGGCCAAATTCTTTGTTTTAGATAGCAAGCCTGCTGCTTCCAGGACACCCTGTTCCATCCCTCTCACGGTGTGTGGCATGACGAAGAATATTCCCGCTATAAGGCCCAAACCAATTTTTTTATATAACCAGTTCAAGAACAAAGTAGAAATACAAGAGAAAATTAAATAACAATAAAAAGCGGCGCACAGAGGGCTAGCCCCGGACAGATGGAGACCACTAAGCCCCCTTCTGATCTTATCTTATTTCTGATCTTATTTTAATCTGCCTTGGAGAACGTTCGGTTTCTAACACAGTATCACATCCCAGCGTGCCTCCGGGAAGACGCTTAGGTCAAGTCCAGAGGAAATATGTTACCCCGAACAATTAAACCTCCTCGATTTCACTGCACGAAGCGCCTAAGCCGCGGTAATTACAAAGGTGAATAGCACCCGAACTAATATTTGTTAAAAACACGAGGATCTTCGCAATACCGACAAGCCTGCCTTTCCCTTCCTCCTCTGGGACCAAAGCTCGCATCCCCCACCCCGCTCCCTCAGCAGGAGAATGGCGCAAGTTCCGCCTGAGCTCAGGTTCCGCCCTTCTTCCGCGGCGGGAGGCGGAGGAAGCCGGGGCGTCCACTCGCCTGGCACCTCTCGGATGGCCGCGGGTGGGAGATGCTGTCGCGGGTGCCGGCGGTGGCTCCCCCCGCCCGACCCCATCCCCGGCCCCGGCCCCCGCCGGGCTGTCTGTCACCGGCCGCCGGGACACGGCGTTGGCACTTGCCCCGAGCGTGGGAATGGGAGCGCCCAGCCGTTCACATCTCCTGCACGCCGTTTAACAGAATCAATTAGGCAAGACAGACCCTCCGCTTCTCCACTCTCGCACGCCCCTTCCCCTCACTTTTTTTTTTTTGTTTTTTGTCAGGACCATATACGTCCTAATTATTTCGGTATGGGATGCCAGAGCTGTTTCCTGGATAGATCTGATCATCCTTAAACAAAAAGAGAGGAGGCGCACACGTGGGTTTTGGAGTAAATGTCACTTTCATTTCCAATGCTAGGCGCACAGCAAGGCACAAAACATTTTTTTACACTTTGACAGGGGGGAGGCGATCTCGTCTCCATCATGTCTTTCTGCTTCAGTAGCTTCCTCAAGGAAACCCTCTCTCAACAGAGAAGCATCTGTGCTAGCGTTTTGAATAGAGAAATAAAAATCGGCCATTACTTTTTTCCCCCCATTTTTGTGCAGCTCCGCCGGGTTCTCAGTAGATATAAATTATTAAGCTTGTCTACACTTCAGTGTAAAATTTTTCTGAAAGCCTGCTTTCATAGGATTTGAAATTAACCTCGATGCTTTGTCTCAGATGCACACAGACAGGTTTTGGGTCGGTTTGTTATTTTTTTGTTGGTTTGGGTTTTTTTTCCTCAGTTCAGTAGTCCACTCTGTATCATCAATATCACCGTCTTCATCATCACCAACTACCACCTTTATTTTTAAGGCGACTTCATTGCAATGAATCACTTTGCAAAATGAAACTCATAATTAGCTTTCTAATAGAAAAATAAATCATGTATATCCTCTTAGCCCGGGTTAAGGCTGGCTGGTCTGGGTTTGTCTTTATTTATTCAACAGCAATAGTTGCACATGCATTGTTTATCATCAGTACCATGTCCTCTGTGCAGTGGCTGGCTATCCATTATATGCCATCTGACAACTTCATATTTTGGAATGAGTATGCCATTTAATTTCATCCACTCCCACCTTCATCTGTAAAAATATTAGATTCAATAAGCATTACTGACCCTTCTCGAGTTTTACTGTCTCTCGCAGCAGTCTTTCATTTTCACACGTTGTACGATGATCTTGAAGGAGTTTTTACTTTCGGTTATCTAGCTTTATGAAGACCAAAACACTCATACAGCTAGATAACCAAAGATAACAACTCACTTCCCTCAAAGCTTTTTTTAATTTTTTTTTTTTTTCTAGTCCTTGCTAGAATCCAGAGTTTTTCTGGCAAACAGACATGTTGTTTTCTCCAAGAGCACCAGTGCTGCTTTAAAATGTTCATCCTTTTATGCAAGTGTCTCTGTATGTATGTGCAGCTAATAACATCCAAGAGAAATCTGTTGCCTTCGAAGTTTATTCCGAACTTTTTTTTTCAGCCAGTAATTTCCGGCAGGGATAGCCAACGATTCATCTGTTAATACCAGAAAATAAAACCAGTCATTAAGGTGCTTCAAGCTGCGTTAAGAGAGAGGAGCATCCATCCTTTAACAGGCCTCTATTTGCATTGTAAATCGCTTCGTTCTCACGAACGACTCTTTAGCCTCTATAAAGATGCAAAGCCATCGGCAATTTCCAGCGCAGTGTAAGGAGCAAGAAGAAGAAAAAAATTCCATTTAGTAGAAAGTAACAAGATGATTCGAGGATGCGTCTCTTGATCCCTTTAGATTATGTACGGTATAGATCTCTTTGCCAAATGGTGGCAGCTTGATTGCAAATATCTGGCGTGCAGTGTGTATTTTAGAGGGGGAAGATCCTCGCTTTCTCGGGGCTCCCAGAGCTGGGGAGAAGAAGACGCGGTCTTGCCGGCTGCTGCTGCCCCCGGTCTGAAAGAAGGAGGAAAGGGCCATCATTGGAGGGCTTTCAGTGCCAAAATGCGGGCCAGCCAGGCAAGGTCAAAGGTCCTGGACCGCGGGAGACCAAGGTAATGATGATGTCATGAGAAACCTCAAGTACACACGGCTATTGATATGCATGAGCGACCAGCCACCGGCGCCGGGACCGAGCCCGGTCTCGCCTCCAGCATCGCCGCCTCCGCCGTCTTGGCGCGGGGGATCCGCCCGCCGCTGTCACCTTCCTCCTCCTCGGCAGCGCAGACCGCTTCAACATCCAGAGGCCGGGAGGCAGGAGGCTCTCCCCCGGGGCGGGAAGCAGCCTGCCCGGCCCCGGGGAGAGCAGGGGAGCCCCGAGGAGCCCGCGCTCCTCTTCGGGCAGCCCCCGCCGGTGCGCAGCGATGCAGCGGCGGGAGCGGGGCCTGGTACTCAGAGGCCGGGAGCAGGGCTGTGCTACGCAGTAAGTCGATGTGTAATTACATTGACAATTTGCTCTGTCGTAGGTGTCTGCGGGGCTTTGGGGTTTTTTTTGTTTGTTTGTTTGTTTGTCTGTTTGGTGTGAGGTTTGGTTGTTTTTTTGGTTTTTTTTTTTTTTTTGGTTGGTTGACTGGTTTGGGGTTCTGGTTTTGGGTTTTTATTTTTTTGTTTGTTTGTTTGTTTGGTTTGGTTTTGGTTTTGGATTTTTGTTTGTTTGTTTTCTGTTGTTTTGTTTTGGTTTGGGGTTTTGTGTTTTTGTTTGTTTGTTTGGTGGGTTTTGCTTTGTTTCGTGGTTTGTTTTTTGTTTTGTTTTTTTTTGACTCCACATCTCCGTCGTGCTTCGCGCCCGGCGTAATTCGCAGCTATTTACAGCGAGATGGTCCAAGATGTTTTCCTCTGCCTGTCCGCGGGGGAACCTGAGAGCAGCAGGTTCAGTGTATTCTGTGGCATCAATTCCACCTCTCCGCCCTTCTACCCTGCCCCCCTCCCTCCCAGCTTGTGTGTATCTCTATGTCTGTGTTAAAAAGCTACACAGGTGAACATTGCAGCAACATTTGTTTAAGGTCATGCATCATCACCTGACGAAAAGCCTTAATAAAACTGCTGATTCATCGTTTATTTTTATTAACCTCGTACTCAGAGTGAAGAAATGCATGCTAATGTCTTTCTAAACTGTTAGGATGTGTTATGTGCAGTTTTAGGATTTAAGCCTCTCAGTTTCCCCTTCCCCACTCCCCCAAAAGAACATTACACTTTGAATTATTTAACAATATAATTTGCATGGAATTTTTGTTACTCTGAAGTGCAAACTTTAAAGGCCTCCTGAGTATGTGTGATGTAATGAACCTTCTCACTAAGATCTACCATATTTTATGTAGAAATTAAAAAATGCACTTCAACAGCTGCAGTGTGCTGTGGTCAGTATAACACACACCAAAAAATTCAGCACACACAGACTATGGAGTGCTCTGAACTCCTAAAGGAATAACAATTTAAAATTCATGCTGCTTCTAAGGTGCAAAATATAACACAGCATATCATGCACTATGTTCCCGCACAATTAGTTAATATGTCACACTGCATTTAAATACATTTTTTGTAAATTAACCTGTGTTTGCATAGGTTGCTAATTTTTAGGTGGAATTTTTTAAATGCATGGAGTCAAACTAAAGTTGTTGCTCTGTGTTGGCTGCAGAGCTTGCTTGTATGATAAAGGAAATGTGTGTTTGTGTGTATACAGGGGAGCCATATGTACATGTGTCAGTCTAGGTACATGTGTGTGTATGTGTTTGAGCTAAAATATATATGTGGATGTATGTAGTTACACCATAAAATATCAAGTAACCAGCCCATTTTTTATCATGATTACAAAAGCATGAAAACAGGGAAGTAATCTCCTTTGTCAGATACTGTTCAAAATTAATACTGTCATCAAGAAGTATCACAAAGACATTGCTAATCTGCCAGTCTGCTAAGTCTCAAATACTGCAGAAATATTGCTAATTTATTTCTCCTTCCAGATTCTAAGCCTTTGAAATCAAGCATTTCTTTTTTTAAACAGGTATTATTTATCCTCATATAGACTGCTTTTTTACAACCAGTGCTTTTACTTGAGAGACATAAGAGCTCATTGGGCCAGTCTTCTTTGTGGAAAATTCAGAGACTCACACAAAATGGTTAGAATACTTATAATGCTGCATTATGAGTTACTGAACTTCTTCATTACCTCTCAGGCTGTTCAGGCACAACAGGAGCAACTGAATCAGACATCTGATACATCCAGAGGCACACGATCACTTTGATATTATGTAAAATTCTAATGAGTTTTTCTGAATTGGCAGATAGGCAGAAAGATGTGGTTTTTATGGCAATAGCTAGGGGCAGTAGTGCTGGTGATCAGGCATGTGTTGCATAGGACAGGCTTATGAGCTTATGGATTAAATTCTTTCAGTCAGAGTCACGGAAATTCAAGTGCTCCTTGTGTATGTATGTGTGTGTGTGTGTATGCTTATATAGGTGTCTATGTACATATATAGGTGTGTATGTATGTATCTGCATATAACCATATTAACACAGATGGATATGTACATGTTCATGCAAGCGCATCACCAGATGTCACATGTCACCGGATTTACACTTAAATGCAAGGTATATTATTGCAAATGGGTATTTCCAAAGATGTAAGGTGTACCTTCAAAACACCGAGCCCTGTTCTCACAACCACCTCACTTACATTCTGACTTACTCTGAAGTAACTGCAATACACACGTTTTGTTGATTACTCATTGGAGCACGTCAAAAGAGCCAACATGATGGTTATGATGTAGCTGATCATTAGCCATATTATGGATTGCATTTTCTAGCTCTCAGACACTTAGTAAGACCTTAAAATGATCGGGTGTCCATTAAGTATTTGCTTATTCTGAATATTACAAAAATGTATGCAGGAGTTTAAGGCACATTTCCAAGACTTCAACGTGGAAAGTTTAAGCAATGCACAGTTTTGAAAATTCTGCCCAAAACATCACCTGAATTGTCGAAAACAGCAGTTAACACAGCCTGCTCTCTTCCAGTTTACATAATTGAATAAAACTTATTTATTCCAAAGTCACTGTAGAAACATCAGCCTATTGGAAGACATGGAATACAAACACTGACTTTTTCCTCCTAGTTGCCTAATAAATTCCCACTAATGGCCTGCAGATTAGTATGTGATTGTCATGCTTGCTTTCTAATCTTTTTATAGGTCTGCAGACACCTGTGACATAAAGAATATCCTGCATGGATTTTTTAAGAATAAACAGTCTTTACTGACTTTAAAGAGGAATGCTTATGATTCTCTAATCATTGCAATCAGACCCCCATCCTATCTCCAGCATCCCCACCTTCTGTGTGGAAGACACACAGGAATCCCCCTTAAGCTGCTGTGAGGTACCTAAGAGGGCGTAGTGTTACATAAATTCCATTTTCACACTAAATTATGGCAGAATTCATGTAGAGTTAAACCACCATGGCATGCCAGTACAGCCCAGGCCACCTCTCCTTGTAGAGCAGCATCCCTTTCCTCCCAGCCAGGTAAGTCACTTGACTGTCTTGCCTTTCAGTAAAGGTGCCCCATCTTTTCTTTTGTGATCATTATTTCATTTGACAACAACTGCAGATTGTACTTCTGTTATGTTAAACCTATAGTGTGCAAAGGGATATCTACCACAAATTACAAACTAAAAAATGTCAGATTATTAAGAATTCAGTCTCAGAAAAAAATACATTATCAAACCCACACACAGTCAGTGATTACACCTGGAAATACTGTGTGCTGTTAAATAAGATATATTCATATCTGTAGGTGATACATGTCATTGTCTGACTTCTATTAAACAAACAAACAAACAAAAAAATTACTGTTTCTTGTCGTGATTTCATTACCTGTGTTCTGTCTGTGTTGTCTAAACCTGAAAAATAGCCCCCTCCAGAAAAGCAAAGGATCACAATTTAAGCACTTTCAGTGTTTGATTCTTGTTCCAGAAATGCATGTGAATGGGTCAACCTATGTGTTTAGAAGGCACTGAGTATATTAACTTCCAAGATTATTAGATAAATCACTAAAACGCTTGACTCTAGGTTAAATGGGGAAATAACTAGCCACATTTCCTGAAGATGATCTAATATGACAGAAAACAGATATGAGTGATGTCCTTCTGTATCTGCAGGGTTAAATATGGTAATCAATATTTACAGGAAATCATATGAATAATTTACGTTTTTAAAATTTTATTGTTATTTCTGGAGAATTACGGTTAAAAATAAAAGGCTAAAAATATTATTTGGGGCTGCTGAATAGAAGTGACCGAAATTATAGAGGCAGATCTATGATTTGCATGCTACAAGCTGCCAGTTACTTAATAAAGGATGGAGGCTCCACCTAGCCTTCAGTTCAAAACATGCAAAATATACTAAGCCAGCCTTTCCCCACTGGATTTCCCAGCCCTTCCAGACCTATGCTGAAACCCGAATTACCAGGAAGGCGTGGTCTCTATTTACAGCCCCAAAAGCTTATCAAGGGCCGCAGGGTTAAATAAATACAATGTAAGCTGCTCGCTTTCATTGCATTATATCCAATAGAGCAGCCTTAGCTGAAAGAAAAAATTAAATAAATTCTTATTATTATTTCGCAGGGAGCAACGGTGTTCTTAGATGTTACAATGAAGGAGTTTCACTCGTTCCACGGACCAGTGTGGACCGGGGTTGTTGAAGGATTTTGACCACTTTTTTGGTGGATAGAGAGATGTGAGGGGACACTCCTGGGCCATGGTGAGCAGCTGGGCTGCACCCTTCTGCCAGGTACGCTCCTGAGCTGAGCTGTTTTGGCCAGGATGGATTTGGAGAACCTGGGAAGTGATGGCTGCTTGTTCTGAGTGATCTGCTATGTGGGAGGCACTGGATGAACAAACTGCTGTGAGCAATCCCTTGCACCTCGACCAGCTGCAAGATATGCCTCCAACTTCTCTTCTTCCCCCTCCTTTTTTGTCCTGCCCATTTCCCTCCCCCCTTTATGTTTTTTCTCCAGTTTTTTTTTTAATTTTGTTGTTATTATTGTTGTTTGGTTGTTTTTTTAAGCTCAACTATGTAAAGGCCTGTTATACTTCAGCCCTGTGACTGTTTGTTCCTGTGCCTGCACACCTGCACACCTTTTGAGGGCACCCAGGCATTGCAAAAAAAAGCTCCCTCAGAAGCCACAGCTCGGCAACTGCTGGTAGTCTGCCAGATAATTAACATTTCCCGCAACCAAATACAGCTCCACGACCAACAGGTTTATCTTCAGACACACAAAACCAGCTCACCAGCATAAGACGCTGTGTCCAGTCATAAAACCTTGCCTTGTTAATCAAATGTCCCTTGCCAGGAGCAAGAACTCTGTCGGGGAGACCCTGTCTGGCTACCCGGGGAGAGGTGGCCTCCACGGGCTCACAGGGATCTGGGAAACCTCCACCTGCCCGGGGCTCAGCACCCGAAATTTTGCCAGGAATTCAGGACACCAACACACATACATAAACACTTGCGGTACTTACATTTCTTCGCCTTTATCAGGGAAAGATGTGACCCCAGATCTAGGGGGAAAGCTGAGCCAACGATGACAAACAAAGATCCCCACGGCCAAGGCCCCTCAGAGCAGAGAAAGCTCTCCCAATTTTCCATAAATTCACGTCTTTCCCCTTGCCATCCCTATTTAAAAGTGCTGCTTAGCTCCACAGTATTATTCTTGTTCCAAGGACTCTAAAAGAGTTAGAAATGTTCCATCCAGAAAAATGGGAGAGAAACACAGAAAGTTGGCTTGGGTTTGCCTTATATTTTTTCTTTTTTTCTGCAATGCTTCCTATGCCCCGGAGTAGAAAGTGAACTGTTGTATGTGAGGCTCTGCAAGTTTTTTGGGGGAGTTGGCCAAGGTCTAGTCCAGCCCTCTCTGCTGAGGAGGACGTGCTCTGAAATTCAAGCAATTTCCCCAACGCTTTTGTTGCTGATGAACTGAAGCCCTATTGTTCATCCATTGCCACGGTCTTTTTCAGTTCCTATTATAGGTTGTATGTTGCCAGAGATAATGAATTTGCACCAAAACCCTCTCATAGTCCCATTTTGACAGACGGAACAAATTAGAAATGTCTAGTGTAAAGAAGAGCAATGGCTACCTCTTCCTAGAGAAGAAGGGAAGCTTGCATTTCTTTGGAAACTTAGGAAAAAAAAAAAAAGTGAAGCAAAAGGTCGAGTGTTCTAAGGTGTTTTTCTTCAGCTAAATTCCAGAAGAAGAGTTTCATCCGAGTCTTGTTTCTGGAAGGCACTGCCATTTGTGCAACTTTTGTCCAAACCAAGTAGTCGGTCAACAGCAGGAAAAAGAAAAAAGAAAAGAGAAAAAAATTAGAAAAAAAATCGTAACAAAAAATACCCTTCTCCCATCCCTGCTTTCATGCGAACTTGTAGCGTGACCTCTCGTCGCTGGAAGGAGGGTGTCCTAAAGAGCTGCCCGTTCCTTCTATCCCCACTCATCCATCGCTCTGGGTTTGGAAACAGCGTGAAAACGCCCGTAAAAGCCCCGGCTAGGTTTTAGGGCGCAGGGGGCGGGTGGGGAGAAGTTTGGGTGTGCGCCGGAATGGGAGGTGTGCGGAGAGGAAGGGATGGAGGCAGGGATGGAGGAGGGATAGAAGGAGAAAGGTGCAGGGCGAGGGGGCGGCAGGATGGCTCGTTCCTGCACCAGCCCCCGCCTGGGGGGCGTGTGGGGTGTGACGCCTGGGGGGCGTGTGGGGCGGTGTCATGTTGGTCCCTCACGGTGAGTCTGCTTTACGCGACGCCGCGAGTGGGCAGCTGTTAAGGAGTGTATGTGTGTGGGGAGGGGGCTGAGAGGGGCAGGGGAGGGCGGGGGGAGGGGCGATGCTCAAAAATTAATAAATATATGTATATATACACGCTACAGACGCTCACACACAGACAATTTTATATATATATATATATATATAAAATATGTGTGTGTGTGTTTGTATATGTCAGATGTGTGTCAGATGTGTGTCCCGCTCGGAGCCCGAGGCTCTAGGGAGTGGGAAGCAGCTCCGCTGTCTCCGGGCACGGATTTCCGCGGAGTGTTTCTGCGGGGAGATCTCCACCGCAGCCCCGGGCAGCCGGGCATCCCCTGCCGGCACAGCCCCCGGCGATCGGGCGAACAAAGAGAGCTCTGTGAGGACCGGAACGCCAGCCCCGAGAGAACCGAAGGAATTTAGCACGAACAGCTGGCTAAAAAAAAAAAAAAAAAAAAAAAAAAAAAAAAAAAAAAAAAAAAAAAAAAAAATTTATAAGAGTCGACACTGCTACCCCGGCCAGAAAAACACCCGCGTTTCCGCTTCCTGGCGAGGGCATTGAAGATTAGTTGAAATGCTTGAATGGAGGAGCGGTGAGTGTGCGGGTGTGCAGCCCCAGGAACGGCTGTGCCAAGGTCCACAGAGAGGCTCTGGAACAGCTCACAGCAGGCTGACAAATGAGTTAATGACGTCAGCAGCAAAGGAGAGAAATTTGGGTCCTAACAGAGAACATCCCTCTCATCCCGCCGCCTAGCCGGCTGAAGTTCTGAAAGTTCTCCCTAACATCACGATACACTGTAGAGTCTCCAGAAGAAGCGGTGTAAAGGAAGGAGGAGTACACACCGCTCTCATCTACCACCCGCTACCACCGTATGCTCATCGATTCCCCGCTCACATTGAGCTTTCTCCCAGTGGAGGGAGGGGGAGATCATGGCAAAGCCGGGAGACCGGCTTGGACTTGCAGAACAGACAGGCGGGGGCTGAGACTCGAGATGAGGACTGCGGCCACCCCACTCCTCCAGCCACCCGCTTCTCCCTCCCTCCCTGTCTCCGAGTCCCGTACCCGCGGTTCGCTGTGGAACAGCGCCCAGATGGATGCTGCGCCTCCGCTGGCTCAACGCTCCTCTGTCATGCAATGTTTTGGGGAGGCAGTAGAGAAATTTTCTTATTATCATTTTAAATTGGTTAGAAATTTCTATTTCCCTCTCGTCTCCCGATGCAAAGAAGCGGCAAATAACGTCTAATTAAAAAAAAAAAAAAAAAAAGAGAGAGAGAGAGAGAAAGGGCAGGACGGACTCGCCGGTCCTGAGGGAAGGTGGGCTTTCTTTTGGGGGCGAGCGTTGGGGCGGGCAGTGCTGCTGTTGCTGCTGCTGCTGCTGCCAGAGCCTATTTCATATGGTAGAGCGCGGCCGAGAGCCTGCGCGGCCGCGGAATAGCGCGGAGCATCTCAGCGGCTGCGCCTCCGCCCCGCGTCCCCCATCCCCACTTCACGTTCAAGGTTTAGAGAAGAGGTCACGTCCACTGACGTCAACTGGAGGCATACGGCACGTCCGCCTGCATTTACATACATCAAGGAAATTAGGGCATAAAAAATAGGAAAAAAATAGAATATGCAAATCCCCCTGCTTAGAGAAGAGATTGCCGATTCTGGGAACGATCGTCCCTATTTGCGGAAGATCCTAATTAACGGAACAAAAAACTGGGCCTCTCTCTTCTTCTAAACATCATCATCATCCACAACAAAATAAGCATCCTCGAAATGAGCACTCGGAGCCGGTCTGCAGCGCGATCTGGGAGCGGGCGGCCCCGATGTGAATGCAGGGCTCCACCGCTGCGCCATTCTCTTCTCCTCCTCCTCCAGCTCCTGTTGGCTCCAGCGCGTATTACTTTTAATACTGATGCATATGTAAAGGTATATTTGCATTGTTTTTAATTTACTGAAAGTTGTAGCCTATCGCTTTTCCTTTGCCCTCTTTTATCTATCTGTTTAAATATCTTTCCTTTCCCTTCCCCTCCCCATTCCCCCGGTTTTTGGCGAGATTCTGCAGTGTGTCTCTATATACAGTTTCCTCCATGCTTCTGTTTGTATAAGGTTACAGACTGTGTACAGTGCTAATACTACAAATCAAGGTGCACAAGATGCTTATTGGGCCTTAAGAAGGGAGGAGGATCTTATTGCCCTGCTCAGCTATCACATCGCTGGCTTGAAACTGGGAGTTTGCCTAATTAAGTTCATATTAGGAAACAAATTTTAAAAACCACCAACACCCCCGCTCCTGCCCCGTTTAAGGGTATAAAGACATACAGATATCTCAGTGCTGTGTGTTATGACCCATAAACACACTTATATCTGCCTTGGTTTCAGGAATCGTTTATTTCAATATCTTCTCTTAAAATGTGCAGAGCCAGGTACGGAGAGCTTTCTCCAAGGAAGACATTTTGTATTTTCTCTCTTAGGTGCTGCATTATTAAATGTATTACACCTCATTTTAACGTGTGCAGCCTTAAATCCACTACATAATTCTTTATAGAAAAAGCAGCTTTTTAGATGTTGTTTGAAAATACGCTCGAAGCCTTACGCTTGCTTTACCCGAAAATCCACAGGCCTTGAATTATATGAAAAACATTTTTAACATATTTCGATTTAGCTTAATGGGTAACAATAAGAAAGAAGAGTAACAATAAGAGTAGTTTCAATATGATTAAATCCAGAAGATTACTCTGTTTTTATAGTCCGGAAATGTTATGTTTTTAAATGAGAAACCTTATTTTCCTAAGAAACGAGGGGAAAAAAAAAAGCTCAAGTACATGGATAGATAATTATTACACTATGAATGACTCACCTGCATGGATGTATCAGGCAAAAGTTAGCCTTCTTCAAAGACTGACATGCATGTATTTTTTTTAAATAAAGAGTGGAGTGTCTGTGTTTCTCAGTGCCTGTTTCACCACAAGTATACTTTAATTCTTTGTCATTTCTCACGGTATTCCCAGCGCTGCCTCTCCTTCCAGTTTTACGAACCCTACGCTGATATGCCATCCAGTAAAAAGTGGTCAGATGGCTACACGTAAAATATTTAAAGAAATAATACCATCTCAAAACGGAAATCGTCACGGTCATCCCTTAGGTTAGCTCTTACCTTACTACATCTAGCAGCAAGTCACTAGGAAAATACTATTTTTACACATTTTTATCAACAGTGGGTGTCGGGGACTCCTGGCCCACGGATGCAACCTGACCACCCCCCCTCCCGGTCCCTTTTAATTAGCGCTCGTGCAGTTGTCGCTCCCTTGCGGACCCGCATTAGCGTGTGCCGGGAGGCGGGAGGAGGTGAGAGCGGGTCAGTCCATCTTTCCGTTCCCGCAGCGCATCCCGCATCATTCCCTCCCTCCCCGCCCCCTCCTCGGTGCCTTACCCCGCGCCTCGCCGCAGCTACGACGGGACAGGGGTGGCCGCCGCCTGCGCCCCCGGAGCACCCCCCAGGCCGGGCTGCCGGGGGTCCGCCTCGCAGCATCCCTCCCCCCTGCTCCCCTCCTCGCCCCGCGTTACTGCGCGGCGTCCCCGCGAATCACAGCGGCGGCTTTTGAAGAAGCCCCGGGGGTGGAGGGGTTGGAAGCGCGCCCCTCCCTCCCCGCCTGCGCTGCTGCCTGTGCCACGAGCAGCGTGGGGAGAGCTGCGTGTCCCCCCCCATCGCAGACACTTGCCACTTGAACATGACGGGGGGAATAGGAACAATAAATGCCACCCTCGTTCTCCCCCGCCCCCGCGCCCCCGCGTTACCTAATATCGGCCTTTTACTGCTAAAAATACGGGTCTGCACCGATCATCCTGGGTGATGGAAATACCATCGAAGTCGGCGATTTCTTGGATTTTCGTCCAAGGATAGATAAACAAATGAATACATAACAGCACTAATAATGCTCAGATTTCGGGTAGCCGCTGCAGCCACGGAGATGAGACAGGGCGCCGGGTTGAACATACATAAATGCATGAAATAAATCCATTTCCACATCTTCTCATTATTTTTCCCCACCTTTTTTTTTTTTGGAGGTTTTTTTCCCCATCAATACTTTTAATAACTATCGTCCTCTAAACCCAGTATTCATCATTTCACACTTAAATTTTCTGCCTTGTCTCTTCATCCTTGTCGTCTTATCATATATGTAAACCTAACTGCTTATGGTTGTACACGCGAAAATTATTTTTTAGAAAAGTGGAGGTGTAGATACTGTGGATATCGTGGAAGGACTTTTTGAAGTATTTTCTTTTAATTACTCCCCTTTTCCTTTTGGTTTTTTTTTTTAAATTTTTTTCCACAGGACTTAGATTTTGTGTGTGTGTGTGTGGGTACAGAGAAAGCTCTAAATTTATTTTTTCCTTTCCTGAAAAAAAGTTAAATACTATTCTCCCGCCAAATTTCCGTTACTTCACCTAATATTATCTCTTCATCGTTCTACACGTTTTCATTTCAATATCTAATTCCTTACCTAAAAGCTTCCAGTGCGAATGCACCCTCACGGTGCATCTCCTTTGGAAATAATAATAATAATAAAAATAATAATGATAATAATAATAGTAATAATAAGCCAATGCCCCTTCTTTTCTGGTTAAGTACATCTCTCCTTATTAGAGGTATAGAGGCAGAAACCGAGAGGAGAGGCAGGAGAAGAGGAGGCGAAAACTTCAATACTTTCATCTGTACTTCACATAATCGCTAAATGTTGAGGTTTCCAGAGGCTCAGCAAACTCTTTGTTAGGGATGTTTTGGCAAGCATGCAGAAAGCCAATTTCAGCTCCAGCCCAGGGTGAGCAGACAGAGCAGTCGAGTCTCCAGGCACGGAGAGGTTTGACTTTCAGCACCAGCTGAAGGGAGATGAGCCCCATTTTCGCGACGCTTCTTCTGCTCTTTTATTTTCGTAGCCAGCTTATACCTAGGCAAAAAATAACTCATCGTAAAGACAAGGCTTGAAATGCACGCTCTTTTCCATAAAGATGGTCTCGCGGAAAGGAGTGAACTTGCTTTTTACTTTTTTTTTTTTTGTTTTTAATTGGTTTTGCTGTGATTTTTTTTCTTTATTTGTTTCACTGATTTGTTTTGATTTTAAATTCACTCTCCAGGTGCGGAGCTTATGTTCTATCACTATCCGTCCTGTCCCGTTTGCAACCCCTCGGCAGGACGTACCCCGCTTCTGAGCAGGGACAAAAAGCGGGAAGGAGGTGAAAGCGACACCCAGTTCCTCCGTGGGGCCTTTCCCTACCCTGTGCCGCTCAGTGTCCGGTCCAGATGCCCCGGAGGGCTCCGGAATACGTCCTCGCCGTGCGCGGCACCGGTGCCGGCGGCGGGGGAACAGCGGCACCTGCCGGTGCCCGCGGGCAGGACCCGCACCGACCGCGATCCCTCTGTCTCCCGGCTCCTCCCAATGCTCTGCAAATGCTACCCCTCGCCGTCGCATCCGGGCTGTGCTCCACCAAAAAAAAAACAAAAAAAAAAAAAGAAAAAAATATATATGATGAGAGAGAGAGAGAGAGCGAGCGAGAGCGAGATATATAGCTGGAATAAGGATGCTCTGCAGGTAGAGCATCCCTCGGGTGACATGCAGCACACTCTGCCCTCCACCCCGTCTGAATTCCTCGCCCTCATCTCCACTGGGGTGGGGTGTACGTGTGTGTGAAATTGTCGCCCCTCCTCATCCCCTACTTGCTTCGCATGTTAATTGCTGGGATCAAAATACGGTCTCGGTCTGTGGGTGCCTGTTTGAAGAGAAGCCGGGCTTACGAAACGCAGGGGCCGGGGAGGGGAGGCTGCGATATCCCAGAGAACGGTAATATTTCGATATTCCTCCCTGCAGAATGGCCCCCCGTTACTTATTGAATTTTTACCAGTGCAGTCTGGAAAGACCTTTTTCTTGGAACCACTTGTTAGCTGGTCACAGGAGGCTTTTACCTTCCCGCTATTCTCCCTTCGTCTTTTAATAAAAGTAATGAAACCGGAAGGTTTGATGTTACGGAAATGAAGTTTTTACTTGCGGGAGTGGCGGTGAAGAGTTCTAATCGCGGTAGGCAGTCAGGTGTGATTCGATAATAAATTTTCCTGATCTCCTTCTAGGAATTTTTCGTTGTCTCTTATCTCAACAGACTGCAGGCGGGTAGAAGAATAACTTGGCTGTCTCTCAGAGGACGTTCCTTCTGAGCCTCCAGGAGATTATTTCTTCTTCTCCAACAAAAAATATAAGAACGTGATTTTTATTTTTCAGTGAGAAAAGGCTGTGGGCGCAAGGCCATCAAATATTTAAATTTAAAAGTGGCGTGGCTGCTATATGCGGTTACAAAAGCACGCGTGACGTGCCCGCTTCTTGCGTGTTTTAGCTGTCGTACTGCTGGTACCGATGTGTACCAGCGATGGGCACGGAGACAAACACACAGAAAGCCGGTTGCACCTCTCAGGTAGTAAAACCTGAGCATAAATTAGTTCTCTGCTCACCAGGATAACAATTTCGAGGTGCCCTTCTGAGTAAAGGCATTTCAGCTCAAGGACCGAGCATATTATTTGAACGCCGGTCTTGCTCGGGTCGGTGGAAAAATAAGGATTAAAAGCAACGACAGAACCCCGACAGGCTGCGGAGGTTGTAGGGGAGGAGACGCGGCGGCGACCTTTGTCTGCCTGTCCTTCTGGTAAGGATGTTGTCTTTCTGTCCTAGTAACACCCGGAACAGCCGAGGACTATTTTGACACTCATCCTTGCCCTGGACACTATGTCGCCGTCCCCGTCCAACTCCCCGCCTGGCAGTATCGCATCTCCCCGCCGCACCGCGCCCTGCAGACGGACGGACGAACAGACGGACGGACTGCGCTACTGGTGCCGGTTCCCACGCTGCCGGAGCACCCACCCCCCGAGCCGGGACCGCTGCACCCTCATTAAAACGTCGCCGTTTTGATGCTTGTTGACAAAAAGTTTCAGAGCTCTCTCAGCGCAACCCCCCGCCTTGGGTATCGGGGGGAGGGCTTGCGAGGCAACCTCCCTGACGCGTCGAGCAGGGCAAGCACGCAGAGCCCCTTGCCCTGCCAGCCCCCTCCCGCTCCTGTTTTCTTCTCCACCTTTTCAGTAGCGACAAGGGAATCAAGAAACGGAACTAAGGATGCGCGGCGGATGCCAGCCCGCTGTTCAGCCGCCACGCTGCGGGACCTGGGGAGGTCTGTCCGGGGAGCGCGGTTGTACAGCGGGATAGAGGGCCGTTACGCCATCTGCCCTTGTATTTACAGAACCTCAGTTTCCCCCTCTTTCACATCCCCAAAAGGACGCTAGGCGGGAGAAGGCAGACCTGTACCTTGTCCTCTCGCACAGGCCCATACCCTTTCCAGTACAGACGGTCACACCCCAAACAATCACTGGAATGCGACTCATAATCTCGTCCCCACCCCACTGATTTTGATTTCATCCCGAGGGGCATTCGTCAGGCCTGCCCCCGCTCCCTAACCCTCCGTGCCTGTGCAGTGCGATGCTCGGAGTGCAGGAAGCGCCGTGCGGGTGCCACACGAACACCCGCGCGCGTGTATGCGTTTAACGAGCCCATGGGCAAACCCACATCAGCTGATCAGGTTTGAAATCCAATAGCTTCCCCTCACGTGAATTAGATTTGTCACTGACTGTAAGAAAGTAGGGAGCAGGAGGGTGTCAAGGACAAAAGAGAGCGGCGAAGGATTCCCTCGTCCCTAAAGGGACGCCTTCCCGCCTAGTCCCTCTCTTTCCACTCGGACCGGACCCCAACTTATAACCTCCCTCGTTATTACAAGAGGCCGAAAGATGAAGGTCGGAGAGGGGTCGGGGTACAAGCGGAAACCCCTGCCTCGCCCCCAACGCCGGACAAACTTCTCCAGCCTCGGGGTGACACGGCACGGCCGGACTGTACCAAGCTCCCCGCCCGCCCCTTCCTGGAGACACCCTCGTTCCGTACTCACCCCGTTCCCTCCTCTCCGCGCTCCGCAGCCGCCCGCTCTGCACCGTCACTCGTAGGCAGCCCATTAGAGGCTTCTCCAGCCCCGCTGGAACGGGTGGGAAGAAGAGAAGAAGTGGCGGAGGGACGGGGGGGGGAAGTTGGTGGTGGAGGGAGGGGGCAGCCACGAATGCTTCTTCACATCGGACTGCGACGTGGCTCGCTCCCCGCTTTTCGCCCCAGTATTTTCCACTCACTTATCTCCTCCGCTCCCGCCCCAAGGCAGACAGCCGTGGGGGACGAGGACATGTCTTTTGGGAGGGCCCTCCCTTCTTCAGGGTCCCGGCCAGGCAGGGTGAGGGGTCGAGGCTCAGCCTGTGGGGCCCAGCGGTGCTCGCGTTTGGGGCTGCTCGCGTCCCACGCCGAGAGCGGGGCTGTCGGGTCTCGGGTGCGTTGGCAGTGGGGTGGGCAAGTCCCTCCGCGCACCAGGCATCGCCCCCCCGCCGCCTCTTGTTGTTATCATCACTATTCCTACTGCTGCTGATGGTTAATTTAAGGGACCTCTGGAAACGGAGGCCGACGGAGGGGCCAGAGGAGACAGAGGGAACGGGGGGAAGCGGTTTCTCGGGGAAGGTGGGTTCTGCCGGCGGGCAGCACCCCAGGGGGGCAGTGGGCTAGGACAGAAGGTGTCTGTGCATCGCTGCTGGAGCGCCGGCGGTACCCGGGGGTCGGTGAGCGGCACCTGCCCCGTTACCAGGGCACCACATCTGTGTCCAAGCGGCTGGGGTCAGGGATCTCGTCACAGACCCCCTCGAAACTACAGATATACCTCGAAACTACCCCCTCTACTGCTACAGATATACCAATTGCCCCACTCATTCCTTGGCTGGACTTTTTTTGGCAATTTTCTCTCAGAGGTTTGTAGAAAGTTTTTGGCATCGGTACCTGGCAGGTACAATCCCACAGTTGTGACTGCGACATCCGTCACGACTTGCGCACGATCTGCATGCCAGAGATGGCATCATTCTAAACCTTCTTCTCTCTCTAGTGTAAATGAGGGCAAAATATTATTTGCCATATAGCTATTTGGAGAAGAATGCATCAACCGGGCTGTGGTTTCTATGGGGTTATGCAAGTTTCGTGTTTAAACAGAGTGAAAATGAGCCCATACTAATATTTGTCAACGTGTTTCAGGATGTTCATACCTTATATTTACGATATACCAAAACCCCAAAAAATGTAATGAGAGGTTGTGTTAATAACACCGAATTAAATTAACAAGAATTACAGTATGCTTAAAACAGATTGTACTAAAATGAAAATAAATATTTGATTCTTTGGCATAAACAACAAAAAAAAAGCATTTTAAACCTTCTATATTGTGTTCAGAAATTTTCTTTAGTTTCTAGCCATTTTGGTTTTATATAAAACGATTAATATAATAAATAAAACTAGGTAAGCCAGACCACGTTGCGAATTGCTATTATTTAAATTATTAAAATAAAATCCTTGGATTAATGTTCATTCCAATAACTGTGGAAATATTCTCCTTTTAATTTACTTATTTTCAAAACGGAAACTAAATGTATTAGAGCTGACTTCATTTCACAGTAAGAAGATTTCATATTAGAACAACTGTCTGCATATCCTTGCTGTAATGTGCCACTACCTGAAGCAGATAAAAATAACAAGGAAGCTCCTGAATTTGCAATTTTTTTCCTTGTCCTTTTTATAACTACTGCTACTGTAGTCACTTTCTCGTATGGATCATCCATTTTCTGGTGCTACATCTCTCCAGACACACTCACACTCAGGTTTATTCTTCTTCAGTAGTTCCTAGATATATTGACAACGTCAGCATTTTTTTTTTTAGTAGGTTTTCTTAAAAATTGCTTTCAACTTCAGAAAACAGCTAAGCTCTTTCCGGGCAGGTCAGCTCCAGTGATGTTAGGCATCAGCTGCTGTGGATCTCTAAGAATTCAGGTGGGATAAAAAATGAATTATTAGACATGAAATCATCATCAAATTGGTTCTAAAGCCATTGAAATTGGTGCAACTGATTTTTAGCAGAGGAGAATTTGGCTCAGTTGTTCAAGTTACAAGGGTGTGTGGCTGCTTGTTTTAAAATGCAGCTCTCAAATTCATCTCTTGTTTAACTTACATATAAATATATGGCAGGTAAAGACAAGCTATATCCATATTTTTCAAAGTAATTTAAGGGGGTTGGAGGAATCTGATCAATTTAAAATTTTTTACTTCCAAATTTATTAGTGTTCCAGCCATGCAGCTGTATAGAACATAATTGTCAGATGAAAAAGTCTTGCCAAGAGCCTGAAGCCTTACAATAGGGGATGAAACACTTAAAATCCTGCTTAATTATTCTGGCCAAGTGAAATGTTTATTTGTATTTCCGTTTTTCCTCTAATGATTTTCTCTCCCCAGAACTCTCACTGCGAATAATACACCTGCATTGCTGAGCAAAACAGTAGGCCACTCTGAAAACTACCTGTCCAGACAGTGAGAGATGGGATCGGGATACTCAGTAGGTCCATGGCACTCCCTGAAGAGAATTCGGCTTTAAACAGGACACACTTCATCCTCCTCTTCACCAGGCAAAATTGCTTCAACTATATCATAAGTATTAAATGTATTTTTTTGTTTTAGTTATTTGAACAACTTAAGGTAGACTTTAGTCCTGCTGTTGCTATTCAGTCAAAATTTCATTAGGGGAGGGAATATTTTTCCAGGTGAAGAACTGAGGACGGTCTCAAAAACGAGAATAGAAAGTTTGCTGTGTTCTTTGGATTTCTCTCTCTCCCTTTTTTTTTTTTTTTTTTAAGTCTGAGTGGTGTGTTATTATAAAAGTGTGTCTAGGTAATAAAACGAGAACTTCTGAGAACTTCTGAACATACTCTGGCTGGGCAGGTTTGACCTGAAGTCTTTAAAATCGGGTAGCATCTCCCTCCCAAACCATCCTGTGATCCTATGATTCCATGATTCTGAGATTCTATGACTCTAAGATCGGAGAATTCGGACCCACGCGGGACGCCCACGGTGGGAGGGACACGGTGATATCCACGTGGTTTCTGTGTGGGTGAAGAAGGGGAGGCTGTCCGACTTCAAAAACGAGGTAGGGGTTTCCCTATCGAGAAGCTACTCATGAGAAGGCTCATCCCAATACGGTATGTGGGGATGGGAGGAGCATAAGGCGGTTCTTCCCTGAGTCTGCCGACCCATTTCAGCTGGGATCGTTATTTCCATTGGAGGAAAACGAAAAGTTACATGAATTGCCTCAGTTATTTTTTAATGTGTATGTATGTGTACATTTTCCAGGCAAGTGTAGGAATAACTGGATAAATTTTCAAGAAAGATCAATATTTTCTCCCCTCCCCT